AAATGGGTCATGGAAAACAGGAATATTAAAGGGATACCAGTGGGAGACATGGACTTATGGTAAACTCTCTGAAAATTTAGGGTTCACATTAGAGTTGGGCAAGTGAATGTCCATCAAAAGAACCCCTTGTCAGGATCAGAGGATGATTGGAATCAGCAGGTGGATATGTTGGTGCGCTCCCTTAAGATTGCCAACTGGGTCAATGAAATGAGTGGATATGGGGCTGCTGCAGCGATGCAGAGATAGGCTGAAACTAGGCATATTCCTCTTTTTCCTTCTGAGATACAAAATTCCAATTTCCAAAAATTGCTGTGTGGCAGTAAGGGAGAAAAAGGATACAAATGGCTGTGGGACAGATTCCCAGAGGGGAATGCCCTGCACACAGTTAGCATGTCAACTATATTGGACCAATGGCAATAGTGGCACCAAGTGGCTATAAGTGGGTCCTTACAGGAAAAGGTACATACTCTGGACTGGACTTTGAGTATCCTGTAACAGATGCAAATACAAAATATATTATTAAAGGACTAGAACAAAGGATACTGTACAATTTTGGGCCACCAAGTTATATTTCTTCAGATTAGGGAACACACAGCCTACAGAGTGCAGCAGTGGGTCAAGAAGCAGCATATTAAATGGACATACCATGTTGCCATGGTCTTTGCAGTCACTTGTTATGCATCAGAGAGTTGGGCAATGACTAGGGAGGATAGAAGGAGAATTGATGCCTTTGAGCTGTGGTACTGGAGAATAGGATTGAGGCTATCATGAACTGCCAAGAAAACAAACAGATTCATCCTAGAGAGGGTTAAACCAGGCTGCTCCTTAGAGGCAAGGATTCTGGGGCTTCATCTAACATAGTCTGGACATGTTGTAAGAAAGGACCGGTCCTTGGAGAGGGACATCATGCTTGGGAGGGTGAGGGGCAGTGCAGGAGGGGAAGACCCTCTATGAGGTAGATTGATTCAGTGACTGGGATAATCGGGATGGGTGTGTCAGAGTCAATTCGATTGGCACAGGATAGAGCAGGGTTTAGGGCTGTTGTACAGTGGGTCGCTATGAGTCGCAATCGACTCGACAACACATATCAACAACAACAACAACAACCATGCTGCCCACCACCTGTTGAATAATGGTCTGATATGAAAGGCTCTAAAGGAAGTTCACCACTGGACAGATTAATATCTTTCTCAAGGTTATCTAGAGAATAGGGAGTAGGGAAAGATGCTAGTGCTACTATACAATTCTTTCATACATTACCCGAAATTTTTTTCTTCTTGGTAGATACTGTAGTTTTAGGTCCAAGGCTGCAGCTGCAGGTTTCAGCAGAAGTGACTCCTGGGCAAACAACTGTAATACCCTTAAATTTATATGCAAGAATTCCCAAGGGTCTGATGGGGTGGGTTGTACCTTCACCCCAGCTTGTGAAAGTACAGTTAATGATGAATATGACTGTCTTGCCTAGTGGCTGGGATAGCCCACTAGTGCTGTACCTATTTATCTCTACCCGACCTGACTGGGAATGGATTAAACGGGAAGAAGCACTAGCCAGAGTGGTCTTGCTACCTGCAATTTGGATTGGTACAGTCGCTGATCCTGATCCCCCTTCTCAAGGTGGAAATGTTTTGGGTACAAATAAATGACAAATGGGATAAAGGAGAAAGAAATTGTATCAGTACAGAAATGAATACATTTAATATGTAGGGAGGGAAATCTAACGTTATATTGCTACCTCGGGATAGAATCAGAGCAAAGGAGTAATTTTCTCCAGTTAACCACAAAATTTTCTCCAGAGACCACAAAACTTAAGCCAAGTTACATTTAATGGTGTAAGATAAAAAGTGTTACATTTTAGGTGTTTATTTCAATGTACTTGATGGATACTAATGTTTCTTCTATGTTGTAATGTTAAGATACAGTGAAAAAATTAATATTGTATGTTATACTCATGAAATATTGTATTTTAAGGAAGTACACCAGCCTTGCCAGTGGTGATTAGATATGCTAAGAAGGGATTATTTGTTCTGGAGAAATATTTGTAGAAAGCAATAGAATGAGGCTTAGCCTGGGAGTAAATTAAGCCCACCTAGTACTCTGAGGAGATTTGCATTTGAATGGATTTATAAATTCGCGTTGAATTTCTGATTGATGAGATTTACATTTGGGAGCATCCAGCAATGAAGAAACAGGCTGAGTTTGAGCACGTTCCATCAGCACTGTTGACTTCACATGCATGGATGTGTGAGTAAGCACAAAAGGATTGCTCCTTTGAGGAGCAGGAAGTCATGATGAACCCCATCTTGTTGACTTGGCCCCACGTGGGGCCTAAGACTGAGTGAAGAAACCAGTTGATCTAGATCACAGGAAGAAGTATGGAATCCTGAGTTTGCAGCTAATGCTCATCTGGACCTTGCATCTGATGACTGGAGATGAATTAATCAGAACCCAAACAGATGAAGATGTTGTGAACTAGTATTGATTGTTACAACCTTTTGGCAAGTTCTTGATTGGAGTTTGTTTATGAATGCAGATGCTACATGTTCTAACTGGAACGGAAGACTCTTCAGAGAAAGGAACATGCTTATTTCTTCGGAGTATTGGTTTGATAGGAACCAGCAAATCAGATATTAGCGATTTAAAATGGAGGAGATTAAAATATGAAGCATGAAGTTGCTGCCTTGAATAAGAATACAATTCTTATGATAGTAAGGAGAAATTTGATCCTTCTAGTGTAAGGTTAATGACTAGAAAAGCTGCATGGCCTCTAAAGCATCAAAGATGTAATACACAAAATGTCTTTTGTAGCCAATTATGAACTGTTTATTTTGTGATGATGTATTTATTGTATCAAACTTGTTGTTGTTGTTGATTGCCTTCAAGTCAAGCACAACTCATAGTGACCCTAAGAACAAAAAGGCTTGAAGCCCCTCTACGACTATAAATATTTATCAAAGTTCATAGAGTTTCCGGAGGCATGTTATTTAGGAAGTGGATGTCATTTCTACTTCCAAACCTATCACAGAGTGTTAAGGAGAGAGGATTAGGGTGGGGCAGAAGCCCTACGCCACTAGAGGCTTATATAAGCTTTGGGACCTCAGTGCTAGTTCGCTCTCTCTTTGGAACACTTGCCTCTGGAGCTACACTGCAGCTGATAGTCTACAACATTCACCAGTCTCTGCAAGATCAGCCAGCATAACTATAGTCACGTGAGTCATTCCCCTGATGGGCCTGAGTCTCTGGGACACCTTCCAGAAAAACACTGAACCCAAGGGGCATAGAGGAACAAGGGAACTGAACAGAGGAAGATATACTGATGTTGGAAATTAAGGATTTGGGACAATGTTCACTTGGCACTTCTTATAACTGGTCTGCTACTAATCTTAGAAGAACCAATTATGAATACAGGATTATATTTCTTATTTCCTTTTCAGCATTTCCTTTGTTACTACAGAGAAATCTGACAGATATTTTCTATGTTGATCTTATATCCTGTCACTCTGTTGACTTTTTCTACTAGGCCTAAGAGTTTTCTTGCTGAGTCATTGGAATTTTCTATGTATACTATCATCTGCATATAGAGATAGTTTTACCACTTCTTTGTCAATTTGGATGCCCCTTAGTTCGTTCTTCTGTCTTATTGTTCTAACTACTAGGATTTTTAATACAATACAGAATACTTACCTGGTCACAGTTCTCAAGGAGAATGTTCTTACTCTTTCTCCTTTGAGGATGATGCTGACTATTGCTTTTGAATATACATTCTAAATTATGTAATGGAAATTCCCTTCCATCCTATTTTGTTGAGCACTTGAATCAACAAGAAGTGTAGGTTTTTGTCAAAAGCCTTTCTGTGTCAATTGATTTGTTCATATCGTTGTTATCCTTTGTTATAGTGTTGTGGTAGATTACATTGATTGTGTTTCTTCTGTTGAATCATTCTGTTATCCTCCTTGATCATGGTGACATTGGCCCACTTGTGAGTAGGAGGAGAGTTATTCCCAGGTGTCCCTCTGTCTTATCCATTTGGACAGAAGTTTCCTGACATAGTCATCAGTGAGCAATGAGCAGATAAGTTCCTATTTTCTCCATGGACACCTTAATGTTGGTTCGGCTAAACGCTTCCTTTGTTTTTGCTTTTGGGTTTTTGTTTTGCTTTTTTTTCTAAGTAAAAAAAAAAAATCATTTCTTTATTATATACCTAAAAATCACTAATGTATAATTGTTTTGTTTTGTGGGGGTTTTTTTGTTTTTAAATTTTTTATTATTATTAATTTTAATGGAAATTTACAGACCTTGGATTTCCATTCATTCATTGTTGTTCTTTTCTCCCTGTCCACCCCTCCCCCAACAGTACACGCTTCTCTTTGAAAAGTAAAAGAAATATTCTTTCATTGTTTTACAATCCCTCCCCCCAGGTCCACTCCACTATGCAGCCTCTGTTACTCCCAGTCTATCGTGTCCAAGAAAGGGGGGGCAATTTGTGTGTTCAAACAGGTCCTCACTCTTCACTGGCCAAACTCCTCAGCTAGAGGAGAAGTTTTCATTTTCCTGTTGTAAACACACCTGGTCCTCCGCCCAGGTTCACTAACACACCTGCTCACCTGATGCGCTGACTCCTGGACATCTGTTTGATAGGGTGCCTAGAAAGGTGAAGTAGGCCAAGCCTCTCCTGTTAGCTCCCCATTTTTAGCCCTGTGTTGTTCTGTATGGAAGCCAGTAATCACATGTAGCTATTGAAAGGAAAAGGAAAAAATCAGTGCTTCATTTGCACTAGTCACATTTCAAGTACCCAGACACCCCAGGCAACTACTAGCTACCGTACTGATCAGAGCCACTGTAGACCATCCATCGTATTAAGAGGCTCCTTTAGACAGTGCTGAGCCTAGACTACGAATAAAACGATTCTTTGTATTCTTTGCTAACTCATGTTTTTCTTAATTGATACAGAAACCGTGAACTGCCCTGGAAGTCCGTCACACTGAGCACTCCGACCACAAGCCATGGCTCAGTACAAGGGCACCATGAGGGAAGCGGGCCGCGCCATGCACCTGATGCGTATGCGGGAGAAGCAGAAAGAGCAGGTGGAGGTGCTGAAGCAGCGCATCGCTGAGGAAACCATCACCAAGTCCAATGTGGACAAGAAGTTCTCAGCACACTACGATGCCATGGAAGCAGAACTCAAGTCAAGCACCGTGGGTCTGGTCACCCTGGATTACATGAAGGCTAAGCAGGAGGCCCTCTTGAAGGAGCGGGAGATGCAGCTGGCCAAGAAAGAGCAGCTGGAGGAACGTAAACTACAACTCGAGACAATGCGCGAGAAAGCGAACCGGCGGGAGCAAAAGCGCAAGATCTCCAGCCTCTCCTTCTCTTTTGAGGAAGTCGAAGAGGGCACCAATGAGCACGGTCCCGAGAGCGTGGAGGTAATCAAGAAGAAGAAGAAGAACCTGGGGAAGAATCCTGATGTAGACACAAGCTTCCTGCCGGACAGGGAGCGGGAGGAGGAGGAGAATCACCTGCGGGAGGAGCTGCGCAAGGAGTGGGAGGCCCAGCGGGAGAAGGTCAAGAGTGAGGAGATGGAGATTACTTTCAGCTACTGGGACGGCTCAGGGCACCGGCGCACCGTGCGCATGAGCAAGGGCAGCACGGTGCAGCAGTTCCTCAAAAAAGCCCTGCAGAGTCTGCGCGAAGACTTCCGCGAGCTGCGTGCGGCTAGCGTGGAGCAGCTCATGTACATCAAGGAGGATCTGATCCTGCCGCACTACTACACCTTCTACGACTTCATCATCACCAAGGCACGGGGCAAGAGCGGGCCACTCTTTAGCTTTGACGTACATGATGATGTCCGATTGCTGAGTGATGCCACCATGGAGAAGGATGAGTCACACGCGGGGAAAGTGGTGCTACGTAGCTGGTATGAAAAGAACAAACACATCTTCCCAGCCAGCCGCTGGGAGCCCTATGACCCCGAGAAGAAGTGGGATAAATACACTATCAGATGAGTACCTGTATTTCCGGCCCATCTCTTTTCTGTGCCCCTGCCACTCCAACTACCTAAGCAGGACCGGAAGGATCTGAATAGGAAACTGGGAAGGAAAACACATTGGTTTCTATTGTTAGTCAGCAATCACTTGAGATGGTGACTTTCCACAAATTTAATAAAGAGAACTCTGTTAACAGCATCATTGTTTACTTGGTTGGGTTTTTGAAGTTGTTTGGTTGTGAGTGTTTATAATGTTAGCTCTTATTTTGGTTGGGCACAATGTGGGACAGAAAACGAGGCAGGAATACTTTACCTGGGCCACAGTTTTGAAAATAGTAGTATGAGCATAGATTGATTTTGGCGCCAGATTGACTGGGTTTAATATCCAACTCAGTTTCTTATAGGCATAATAATTAAACCTCTGTGCCTCAGTTTCCTCGTGTTAATGGGGATAACAACAGCACCCACATCCAACGATTGATGTTAAAAATATGTTAATATTTGTACAGCCCTTAAAACTAAATAAATATGTTTTGATAACTCCTGCTGTGCTCATGATAATTTTTGTTGTTGTTGTTGTTATTGTTGTTACGTACTGTCGAGTTGTCTGCAACTCATAGCTACCCTGTGTACTCTTTATTAGTTTATGTAAATAGTGCTATGGCCCCTCTGAGAACTATCTAGGGCAGAAGTTAACCTGTCAGCTTCAGGTCTCAGGAGAGCAACTGTGGTAGTAGTAGGACTGAGATACACAATCCCTGTTCTCCTCTGGCAGAGAACATTTGATTTAAAAAAAATAATAATAATAAAATCAAGACTCTTTCTTGATGGAAACCCTAAAGAACATTGTTATAGAACAGATATTTCTGATTCAAGTCCTATATGAAAAGCCAAAGTCAGATGCTTTTTCTACACCCACAGAGGTGATCATATGTTCTTTTCCTTTGTTCTCTTAAACTCAGGGCCTAGACAGCCAAAGGATGGACCGCCAGAAGAGTAATTCTTTAAGAGGGACATGATGCTTAGAAGAGGAGAGGGTCAGTGGAGGAGGAGAATACCTTCAACCAGGTGGATTGACATGGTGACTGCTGCAGTGGACTGTAACATGTCAGGAAGTGTGAAGGATAAGACAGGAGAGGAGAGAGTTCACATCTGTTGTTCATAGGGTCACTATGAGTTGTAATCCACGACACCTAAAACCACCACCAACCCTTGAATAAAAGAAGAACAAAAGACAAACATGTAGAGATTAGAGTTTTGTTAGTGGTTACCAGGAGTGGGAGCGAGGAGAAAAGGAGAGTCATGGTTGACAGAAAATCACATTGACCAGAAGTAGGATTTTATAGCTGCTTATTGTAATTGTTGTAAATAAGTTGTACATCTGTAGATAGTGGTTACATATGAACACAATTAAGTGATCTGGGATTCCTCTTCTCAATGTTTTCCCTAACTGTGTGATCTAAACTATCAGTTGCCTTTGTATCCAATAAAACACAAACAGCTTTCTGATATTCTCTGCTTTCAGCTGAGATCCATCTGACATCATCAGTAATATCCCTCATACTACTACACCTTCTGAATCCACTGACTACTTAATCGTGCTCATGTAAAACCTCTACATAGACCAAGAAGTAGTTGTCTGGAAAGAACAAGGGGACATGGAATTGTTTAAAATCAGGAAAAGTAATTGTCAGGGAAGGTAATTGTCAGGGTTATCCTTTCCCTGTACTTACTCAGTCTGCATGCTGAACAAATCATTTGAGAAGCTGGAATATATAAAGAAGAAGGTAGCATGAGGATTAGAGGAAGACTCATCAACGATTGCATTATACAGATGACATAATCTTGCTTTCAAAAAGTGAAGAAATACTACAGAATACCAAAGACTGCAGTCTTCAATATGGAATACATCTGAACATCAAGAAAACAAAAATCCACACCCCTAGACTATGATTTTTCTATCAAGCGTAACTGGACCAAGGCAGCACCTTGGTAGGTGGGGGAAAGATTGAAGTTGTCAATGATTTCCTTTTACTTGC